TTCAACTCAGCAGACATTGCACCAGCCTGAGGACTGGGCATCATTCACACATTAAAAAAATATCCCCTTCACTGTATGAACAAAAAGAATGACTGATGGGATAGACTTAGGTGGAATTCAGACCACAAAATGCACCGTGCTGCACATAAACTTACAGGCTGCCAGCAGCGTGGTATTTTTCCTGCCTGAGGTGTCTCACTCTTGTTTATTGGTAACTGTTTCCTTAAAAGTGGAATCATAAGTCACCTCTTCCATCAAGGAAGGCAGTCATAAAAGTACCGTTAATGGATATATTTCTTTGCATATTACTGTGTCCTAAATAGATTGGGGAATGAATGAGGCATTAACAAATGCAACACCAAGATAAGAGGGCAGAATCGACGAGCAGAGTATTCTTTCATGAAGCTTTCTGTCATGTTGGTGACTCAGTTGTGGCATCTGCCTCACTTTACATGGTGTAAAACAGCCCCCTAAGCCCCCTAAGCAGAGTTAAGCAGTTTTGACATTTGAACCTTGTATCAATTTGCTTTCTTGGAGCTTTTTCACGTACAGAATCTAAAGACAAATAAAAGACCAACAGTGATAAATTCCTTGCAGACCCTCCTGGTTTCTATGAGAAATTTGGGGAGGCATTAAATGAAAATATTCATAAAGATACTTTAATCCCCGGAATCCTCCTTATGCCAGTAGTGTAAACCTGGTCATTGGGTGCAGGACTTTTGGTGGAGATGAACTGGGAGGAAGCTGCAGAAGAGCAGCCAGCATTGCAAAGTGGCTTTTGTTGCCTTGTAGGGTGGAACAGTGAAGAAGTGTAAAATGCGTTCCAGCCTGCTTTCTTTTTTTCTTTCATTTTTTTTTCTTTCGTTCTGATGAAAAAGATGAGTCTACAAAATATGAAAATGAAGTATTTTCTTTAACAACTCAGAAGAAAACAAGAGGCTGTAAAATTACTCTTAATCATGTTGTAGAAATGAAGAAAGAACCATCAGATTGAAACTGTGTATCTTGAATTGCTGTAATTTAGCCCTGTTTTTTTGTAGGAACTCCGGCACAGTAGGTGAGCTTGAAAACAATTGACTAAGCGTAAAGCAAATCCTAATGGCATATGTAGATTCTGATCTGCACCCTTGGCTAGAACTAGTTACAGAGCTCATTCATATGTGCATCAAACAACACATTGCTCAAAAAGATTCACTTGCCTTCAAGCTATAATAAAGTACATATTGCCTTTTGTGTGGCTCAGCTGAGGTACTTGACAGAGCAGAACTTTTTTACTTTCTGATTTCATTAGATATAAATGTATCACCTGGTTGTGTTGGATGAGCACTTTTTTCATATGTTTTTATACCTGCTTACACATCGGCGTACATTTTTCAGACACTTATACACGTGTAAGAGTATATGGTAGTTCTGCTGCTGTGTGTTTCCGCATGTGTTATGCAAACGAAAAAATCACTTGAGTGAATTTCATAGTCATCCTAAATTAGAAAAAAAAATCCTTTCTCAGACACTATCGAATAATGTGTTTCCATGCTGCATATTTCACAGAGAAGGCATTAAAAATGTCATGAGATTAAAAGAAATACTAGGAAAGGAAAGCCTTGTATTTCTCTGCATCTAAATACAGTCTTTCTGATCTCAGTCATGTCAGTTGGAGGGGCTTGAGGAAAAAGCTGGCTTGTAATTAAAAATATTCTATTGTCTCCAAATCCAAGAAAATATAGCTGCTTATTTTAATTGATTGTAGCAATACAACAGCAAGATCCAATACAGTGTGATACAGTGTGCTATAAATTGAGGTTTGCAGTACTATTCCATTAAATATTGATCTTTTGGAGAATCTCAATACAAAATGAAAATCCCTACGGGGTGTTTCAAGTACTTTGAAGCAGTCTAATTCTTCTTCCCCTTTGGAACACAGCAGCTGCATCAAACATGAGAAACTTCTGTGCTTCCTTTGACTCCTAAAGCATTGGCTCCTAGTTTGAAAGCAAATTCCTCTCTTAAAAGATAAGAACTATTATGTACAGACTGCTTTAGAGATAATCATTTGTCATTTCCTCCCTTCCCTGGCTCCACGACCCTGGCAAAATCAGAACACTCTGTCTCGTTCTTAGTGTTTCATAGTTCTTCAGTATTTCTGAGTCAAGGTCAAAAAGAATCACATAGCTCTTCTGCCAACGTGAGTAATGTGAAATGTTTTGTGTATCCTGGGAAATAGTTTTCGCCTTCCGACAGGCCTGCCATAACCTCTGGTGAAGAGCTTCCCAGTCCTTCGGTATGTTCTTACCTGCACTTGAGAACTCCTGTACAAGAAGCACATTGTTTACTCTGCTTCCCATATTTTTCCCTGGAGCCATATAGGAAGAGCTCCTTCACACTGGGTTACCCGTCACTGACATCTCCCAGATTGTTTAGCTATGCAGAAGAGCATATATTTTTTCTAAAGAGAACACAGAGATGTAACTATTTTCTCAGTGCATAGCTTACAAATGCCTTATACCTAGAAAACAACATTATTCTTTGCATTATTAGAGAGGCAGGGGCCTAAAAAAAGTGTAGAGTAGTCCCCCTCAAAAAAATCCCATGACAACACTAGATGTAGCAGCAGAGAGGCCAGTACTTATCCCAGCAACTAAGATATATCTGTCTGGATAACTATACAGGTGCTGTTAATCACTCTTCTACAGTGAAGTCCTCTCCTGGGGCAGTACTGAGATGATTCAGAGCAGTGTCTCTCAAGAGTTAATGTCCAACTGTGAATTACTGCTTCCTAGTGTCTCCAGACTGAGACAGATGTGGTTGCCTCAGTTGCACTGAGCCACATCTTCATAATTTTTCATGATCAGAGAGTCTTGAAGCTTATTTTTATTACCAGTGAAAGGAAGGAGTCTGATATGATCATCTCACTCCATCGCCGGAAAGCCCCATGCATGGTCCTGCAAGGACTGAGCCTCGGGCTGGCTTCGTTCCAGTCCAGTTCACTCCTGCCTTAGAGCCTGTCAGTTCTGAAGTGCCGTGTTTGTTCCTCTGTTAACAAAAGTGTTGTTTTTGCTATGGCCAGGGATTTCACTAGCAGCTCAGCGATTAAAATATCTCAAAATGACTTTCATTTCAGGCAGTTTAGCACTTCCAAATAGAAATGATCTGGCTCAGAATCACCACAGGTGATTCTCATCCACTATAAACCTTCCTCTCCAATCTCATTCACATACACTGTAATTTATTTTCCTAGTAAAGAGTCCATCATTCACTCACATTCACATATTTAACGCTAACCCCACTTCTCAGCTTGCATAAATCAATGTTTTTCCATTGATTTCAGTTGAGCTGTGCCAGCTGAAGTTCTATTTTATTTCAAAAGTAGAAAAATAATTGCTTAATTCTGTGCAATTTTGAGTCTGACCTTTTGAATTTAAAATTGGCTCCTGAAAAACAACATTTTCTTCTTCAGAGATCAATCTTGCCTCTTACCCCACCCAGACCATAGTCTAAAAGTGCTAACACTTTTCTTTTCTTACTTCCTTTCACCAACTAGCATTAACCATGGGCAAAGCATGGCTAGAGCAAGTTTCCAGTCTTTGTTCCAACCTCTCTCTCTCCAGATATAGAGCTGCAGCTGCAACCTATTATTTCTAACTGCTGTAGCTTTCTTCAGACCATCCAACACTGTGAAGGAAGAGAAACAAAACAAGACAGAACAAATCTTATGCCTGCAGTTAATAATCTGTCTGTGTAGGCAGAAACTTCATGCTGAAGCCATTTTCATCCAGATAAGGCTCTTATACATAACCATCGCCTTCTGTATTATGCAGATAGTAATTCTATATAAGTGCTCAGCATCGATTCTTTGTTTTCACATTTTGAAATTTATTTTCACATTTTCCACTTTTTTTTTTTTTTTTGCTGTTTGCCTAATCACTTTGGACCATTTTTCAATTTGTACTCAAGTAAGAATCTGGCTGAATAAGAACTACACAGTTATTGTTCTATAATCATAGAAATTCCCATTTTCACAGTGCAAACACTTCTGCTTTCTGGTACAGCAAAAAAAAAATGATGATATCACTTAGTACTTTAATTGTGCATAGAATCTAATATAACTGCTGGGTCCTTTAAAAGTAGCAGGTTTATTTAATAGACAAAACTACAAGCAATTCCGTATTTCTTCTGTGTTTCTTTCTAAGCAAACTAAAATTAGTTTTCAATCAATTTGGTTCAGCCTAGCTTTATAGTGAGAATGAATAAAAAAGGAAATGGGTCTTGGGAGGGGGGGAAAAGGAGAAACATGCATTTGCTAATGGCATGGTGATAACTTTGCTTCCATATTCATTCTAAATAAACATAAAAAATGTTTGGCATATGATTGTAGGAAGAACTCGTCCACAGCACATTGTCTTTATCATAATAATCCTACAGAAACATGTTGCCAGTTGCAAATGATTCACAGCATGCACAGCTAGGTTTGACATTGCCAAGATATTTGTAAGTTGAACGATGTGATTTTGCTTATTTAATAGCATGTTTGCCTCCTTGTGCCTCTTTAAAAGACAGTTTGAGTCCAGAAGATTTTTTTCATATCAAGTTGATATTTTCTTTCTACTTCCAGGTTTATAACAGTTGTTGCTTGCAATATTCCAAGAAGCTTTCTTCCTACTTCCATTGCTTGCTTGCTGGTTTTAAAGTTTTATTGAGCAACCTAAATAGACTGCATATATGGATTTCTGCTGTCATGCTTGCTTTTACTGGCTTTACAGTAGATCTGAGGGCAGTGTCTATTTCGAACTGGTGCTTAAGAGCTAGCCTGTTTTCATTAGTATTGTCTTCCTTCCTTCTAGGCTCTTAAGGATGACGATGCTGAGACTGGGCTGACTGATGGGGAAGAGAAAGAAGAACCCAAAGAAGTGGAGAAATTAGGGAAAATCCAATATTCTTTGGATTATGACTTCCAGAATAACCAGGTTTGAAACATAAAGCATGTACCATTTCATTTATGTGTTGGCGAGGGGAGAGTAAAGTAAGCCGATTAGGTACAGTAGATACTTCTGAAATGATTATTTGCTTCCACTGAGTTGTGAGTTAATCTAAGACTGAATGTTTGTGATGGTTCATGACAAAGTATTACTAAACTGATATTTAGTGTATTCTGAAACTATATCATACCTTTAATCAAAATTGATTATGTGGTTTTATCTAATTATTATTAATAATTTGTATTAAAGTGTCACCAATAAATGTCAAGTCACATTATACTATATAGTTTACATGCAGACAGTAAAAGACAGCATCTGCCTTTAGGCAGTTAAAATGTAAGT